CCTTGGCCCCTGGCCCCCTGGGCTGCGAGGGGGGGCCCGCGCCTTTTCGGGGCCCCCCCCCCCCAGCAGACCAGGGAGACCGGGAGAAGCTTTTCTCACCCCGGAGGACACGGGTGGCGACCCGCCGCCCTTGAGCTCCGGGGCGAGAAAAGCCCCGTTCATAAGTGCGGATCCGACATAAGTCGGATCTGCGTAAGTCGGGGACTCCCTGTATTCATGCAATAATAATCCAGAAAAAGCATATTCTTGTTTTGCATTATATTACTTGGGTGGTTTTTTTTTGGGGGGGGGGAGAATAACAGCCCTCAGCTCTTCATATGGAGGGTGCTGTGACTTGCCAAGTGGTGTCTCTGAGGAATGTTATTGATTTGCTTTAATATCTGTGATAATTCCAATATGCTCTCTTTACGGTAACACACAACTGTATATTAATTCAGTGAGCAGAGGAAAGAGAATAGAGTACAAACACTATATCTCAGTATGCCAAGCCACATTGAAAGGAAGTTGATTTTGCTCTGTGCTTTTTTATTGTTGTTTTTAAGCCTGAGCATCAAAGTTTATCTGCCTTTTGTGGGAAAGGCATACAATGCAATTCTCTGTTGAGGTTTGCCTTTCATCACATTTCTTGTTAGCTAGGATTTTTTTTTCTAATTTTGATGGTTTTTAACCATTGTTATATTTAAGATTATCCTGTCTGCTTTTAACAACCTTTACGTTCATCTTTGGGATGGTTGGGGTGGAGTTTAAAGTTAGAGCAGTGCTGATAGCCAGCACCTCTGTGGCTGAGGGGCCAATGACACCAGGGTACAACGTGAGGGAGGAGGCTATGGGTGTCCTGGCCCCGTGAAGCAGAGATGCCCCCCTGGCCAGGACTACAAAGAGAGCGGACCCTTGACCACAGGGTGCTGCTAAACATTTGCTGCCAGAGCACCACTCCCACACTCCTTGCTGGCGAGCTAACAGTTGTGACAATGGAGCTGCACAGCTACCAGGCAGGGACACCCAGTACCTGCAGGCATGCCGACTGTTGGAAAAAATGTGTTGGCATTCATTTCATTGGGTCAGCCAAAATTAATGTTTACTGACAATTTTGGATTAAAACCAAACTCCGACAAACTTATTTTTAGCCTCAAGCTGTCAGTAGTGTCAATACTGCTGTCGGCAGAATAACATCTTATTTCAACTCATCCCTGTTGACAGAAGCCCCCAATGCCTCCAATTTAAAGATTGTGAGAATGGACAGGACAGCAGGCTGTGTAACAGGAGGAGAGGAGATTTACCTTCTTTGTGACAAGGTTCAAAAAGGTAAGAGTCCCAAATAGTCTGAAGTTCTGAGTCGGCCCATTTGGTTGGGATTATAAAGTAGCTTTGTTATGTGTCTCTTGTGGTGCATGTTTAAAGCCTACAGAATGCCTCCAATTTAAAGATTGTGAGAATGGACAGGACAGCAGGCTGTGTAACAGGAGGAGAGGAGATTTACCTTCTTTGTGACAAGGTTCAAAAAGGTAAGAGTCCCAAATAGTCTGAAGTTCTGAGTCGGCCCATTTGGTTGGGATTATAAAGTAGCTTTGTTATGTGTCTCTTGTGGTGCATGTTTAAAGCCTACAGGTGTGGCCTAGCATTCAAGGTACTAATTGTGAGTTCTCAGCATTGCTGAAAATCAGCCAAGCTGTGATTAGGCCTTCTAGGGTCAGCCCTGCCAGCATAGGGGCAAATGGGGTGACACAAAAGGGCCTGGAGCTCCCAACTGTTGCTTCTGCACTGGCAGCTGGAGCCCTGGGGCCCTTTAAAATGCTGCTGAAGCCCTGGATGACACACTCTGAGCAGCACCGAGGGTTGCCTGGGGAGAAGTGTGGTGCTGTCCCAGTGATGCTAAGGGCTGCCTAGCCCTAGCTCCAGCCTCTCCCCTTCTGCCCAAGTCTCTGCTCCATCCTGGGTCACAAAGCAGAGTCATCCCCCCCCCCCCCCAAAACGTCGGCCCTGCTGACCAAGGAGAAACAGCCCATCCACAAGTAAGCAGAATGTATATGGGGAACAGCCTGGAAAGTTGGGGGAAAGAAACTCACCAGTTCCCTCTCCCCCAGCCAGGAGACAGTGACCAAGACACTGCCCTAGCCCCTCTGAAGTTTCTGTTCCAGCCCCTAGACTGCCAGGGTTTGTGAACACTGCATCTGTGCAATCGTGGGCCCCATGCTCACACCCCTATGGTGCCCCCAACCCCTCGTGTAATGTAGTGGAAGCTGCAGGTGCTCAGCACTGCCAATAATCAGGCCGTATAAATCAAGTTCTGTAAATATGGATTTGGATGCCTAGTTTAAGATGCTCAAATTGAAACATATTATACTTTGCAATATCCTGGTTTCCTTTTCATGGACGCAATCGTGGGCCCCATGCTCACACCCCTATGGTGCCCCCAACCCCTCGTGTAATGTAGTGGAAGCTGCAGGTGCTCAGCACTGCCAATAATCAGGCCGTATAAATCAAGTTCTGTAAATATGGATTTGGATGCCTAGTTTAAGATGCTCAAATTGAAACATATTATACTTTGCAATATCCTGGTTTCCTTTTCATGGACACAAGCAAACAGAAAAGAAAAGGGGGGGGGGGGGCTTGGAGG